TATGTACCAACATATAATATACATTCTTGTTTAGATCATCAGAAGGTGAATTCATAGATACTAAACACGGTATACGTAAGGTTATGAATGAGTGGTTTATCGTAAGCATGAATAAAATAGTCTATAATACAACAGATAGTAATACAAAACAGCAATAATATACACAATGGCCTGAAGAATATGTGTGTTCATTCAAAGAAAGGTTTTCCTATGAATTAATTAGAGCACAGTCCATTTCTACTGTGCTTTTCCTATGGGAACAATGAGTGGGTTATTCTACTCACATTCCTGGGGGGTCATAAAACCAGTGATATCATGATTAGTTGTCATGGGGATCAGGGGGTCTGGTGTTTTGCAGAAATCCTGGCATCCAGTTTATTGAGTGAGGGGACTGTGACGATTTGTTAATCTAATGAATAATTGATTTGTTAAATCAAATAAAAATTAGTGTGTCAGATTGGTCGAGACGCTACAGTGTATAAGTTTCATTTCTTTCTTCATGTGTTCGCAGTACTACAGAAGGCCAAGAGTAAAGCTCAGAGCAGCAATAACCTGAAAGAAGAAGCCAGTTTGTGCAATCAGCTCGGGGAGGTTTCCGCTAAAGCAGGTAAACAGAGAGTGAAGCCCTTAGTAGACTTAATAATAAAAGTGGCTTAATGAATAAAGTTTTGGTGTCTCATCCTGAAGGCTGTAGGTTCAACCCGTAGATGTGTCGCTTTGTGAGCTATCACCATTATTGTGACAGATGTCAGTTGAGTGAATGTATTTTGAGATAATCAGCCTGGCTGATGTGTTTTCTAGGCGACTATCGTGCCGCTATTGAAGAGCATCGTCAGGAATTGGCGCTGTCTGAGATTCTGCACGATGTGATTGGCTCTGCTGTGGCCAATAGAAAGATCGGAGAATGTTATGCAGAACTGGGCAACATTGAAGCCGCTCTGAAGGGTTTGCAAGTACATGTTAGTTAGAAATGGAGTGATTGCATGGAGTCATTCTCACATGGAGTTTCTCTCTCAGCACCAGAGGCTTCATCTGCATCTGGCTCGCTCCATCCATGATGCAGCAGAGGAGCAGAGGGCTCTGGCCACTATTGGACGAACATACCTCTTCCTGTTTGATTCGAACAATTCACGGGACAGCTTGAAGCATGCGGAAGATGCATTCAAGAAGAGTTTGGCCATTGTAGATGAGCACCTGGAAGGTTAAAGAATTAATTTATGCATATAAAATGACATGGTTAACCTGGTCGGAATACTACTACTAGTATGTAGTATATATACTATGATGATCTACTATGTTTGCTAAAAAAGGAGACTTTGTATACTGTATCTCTGTTTTTGTAGGTACCGTATCGTCTCGAGAGCTGAGTGAGATGAAAGGCCGTCTCATGCTGAATCTGGGCTGTGTGTATGATGGGATGATGGAACCGCAGCGCTGCAGTGATTTCATACGACAGAGCATCTACATCGCAGAGTAAGACACTTTGTTTTTGTTTATAAACAAGTGAAAAATACCAGTGGTCAAAAGTTTAAAAAAAGAAAAAGACTCTTATGCTCACTAAGGTTGCATTTATTTTATCAAACATATAGTAAAAACATTGATTTTGTTAAATATTACAATTTAAAAGAACTGTTTTCTATTTGAATATATTTCAAATTGTAATTTATTCCTGTGATGAAAAACTGAATTTTCAGCATCATTACTCCAGTCTTCAGTGTCACATGATCCTTCAGAAATCATTCTAATATGCTGAGTTTCCACTTAAAAAATATTTCTTATTATTATTATGTTAAAAACAGTTGTACTGCTTAATATTTTTGTGGGAATCGTGATCAAAAATTCAGGGTAAGATAAAAAAAATAATTTATTAAAGGGGTCATATGATGATATTTTAAAGATCATTATTTGGTGTACCAGAATATGTTGACATGCTTTAATGTTCACAAAAACACATTATTTTTCAAATACTGTACATTATTGTAGGTCCTCTATGCCCCGCCTCTCTTAAACGCTTCGTTTTCTACAAAGTCCCTCCTTCCGACAAGCGCAGTCTGCTCTGATTGGCCAGCTGACCCAGTGCATTGTGATTGGCCGAACACCACAACCACTCGTCGAAAATGTAACGCCCCTTACCATAATCGCGAGCTTCATCTTTCAAAATAAATGTAAAGACAGAGTCCGAAAGGGGAACAGAGTCTCGTGACAGACACAGTGATGAAGCTGGTATGTGTTTGCAGTACACAAGCCACGGTTAAGACTCCACTGTGATCTGACCCCCTCTCTCGCGTCCTCTCTCTCTCGCGCCCTCTCGCTCGCTCTCTCTCTCTCTCGCGCGCGCGCGCGCGCACACACACACACACACACACACGATGCCCAAATCTGCGCATTTGAACAGTCAATAGCAAATACTTAAACTAATAACAAAACAGTAGCTGATTCAGAAGCGCCAGATTGTCATAGCAAAGTCAGAATGACCTCCTCTCCTAGGTTCACAAAACTGTCGTCCATAAAATGCATTGCTGTTCTGTTGTAAGTGATCTTAAAGATTCCTAAATGCATCTACTTCTGGAAGGCCAAATAAAGTGCTTTTGCTTTCGCCTAGAAACACACAGCGTCTCCCTGACATGCTGCTTCAACACTAACTGCGGTTACTGAAACCACGCCTTCTTTCTTTGCGTGCACATTTGGGCTCATTATGCAAATATTTCCACATAGTGAGGTAGATATGTGGGGGCGTGTTAGAACGAGCCGTTTTAGGGGGGCGTGGCAGAGCCTTAACTTTGATAAAGAATATCTCTTTGGTTTTGAGACTTTAGTCTTCGCAACTTCAGCGATCTTATCTATACACAATCAGCTTGTAACACTCCAAAGAGAAAGGAAATCGCATCATATTAACTTTATTAGGGCAACGTTTTTATAGGTTAAGAATGTTTTATAACATAAAACAATAATTGTTTTTATGATTTGAGTTTCAACACTAAGTAAAAGATCAATTTAATTGTAGAATTAATTCACTAATATGAAAGACTTCTTTGTGTTTATGTTGGTACAAAACCATTTTGTGGATATCTGACCTCTTTTCCTCCAGGAAAAACAACCTTCTAGAAGATCTGTATCGTGCCAACTTCAACCTAGGCAGCATTCAATTCCGCAACGGCCAGCACTCGCGCGCCATGCGCTGTTTCGAGCAGGTGAAAGAATGCGCCTGCAAGATGAAGGACAAGTTCAGGGAGAGCGAGTGCTTCCATAGTATCGGCAAGGTGATCATCTCCAAACAGCAATATCATCATCATGTGCTGGTCTTTACCTGCATAGTTTGTTGTTTCCTGTCCCCTTTAATGATTTTTGACAGGTGTATTGATTTTTTGGTGTATATCTGTTCAGATATTGCTTCATCTTGGGGATTTTGCGGCGGCGCGGTGTTCTCTGAAGAAAGCCTTCTATCTGGGCCCCCAGCAGCCTTCTGATCGTGAGGCCGTCAAGAGAGATTTCAAACACGGTGAGATGAAGAACATCTGTGAGTGAGTTTGACAGATTTGATCAGATCAGGAGATCCAACAACGGTTTATCTCTTAAAGCCGCACAGCTTAGGGCTGAATGCTGATCTCTCGAACATAATGCAGATTTTCAGTATTAAAACGCTAAATCAAAGCACTGTGGCTTCTAATAACAGTATTAGCAGACACTGACATGGTGACTGAATGTGTGTCTGATGCAGCGATCCGGGGCTGTCAGCTGGAGCAGACGGCGACAGAAGTGACTGATACGTTTTCCCACGAGGCCATGGATCTGTCAGAGCAGCTGGGAGATCTTTACTGTAAAGTGAGCTGCTATAACAAGGCTCTGGATGCTTATCAAACGCAAGTAAGAAGATGCACAATATACCGAAAAACAATTTTTTTATATATTGCTTTAATTTAATTTAATTTTTAATGCTTTATTTTTTTATTTAATTAACATTTAATTTTATTGTTTTATTGTTTTTAGTATATTTCTGTGTGAGCGTCATTTAAAGTTCTTACCTCATGTGTTTGTGTATCAGCTGGCATGTGCAGAGGCTTTAGGGAAGCCTGCTCGTGAGTTAACCGTCATTCACGTGTCATTGGCGGCCACATACACAGATTTGCGACAACATCATAGGGCCGTGGAACATTACAGACAAGAACTAAAGCTGAGAGAGGGCAACCCTAAAGAGGTAACAGCCAGAGATGAGAAACTCCTCACAAACTACCTACTACTCAGTTTATGTGTCAAATCTGTTGTACATCATCTTCAGAGCGGAGTGACACTGCACAGACTTCCTCATTTTCCAGTCATTGTCTTGTGCTTGTGTTGTTCAGGAGTGTGAGACGGGGTTGAGTATAGCTGGTTGTGAGGAGGAGATCGGACAGCCTATGGAGACGCTCGATCACAGTTTCAGTGCTGCTCTGAGCTGTGCTGAGAGATCAGGACTAAACAAACTACAGGTTGGTTAAAATAATCCTCACACACTGGTTTAATGTGTGGAAGACTCACTGTATACTTGTAAAAACAGTTTAGTTTGACAGTGGTACTGGCTAGTGTTTGTGGTGGCCGATGCTGATAATTTAGAGAGCAGAGTGGCCGATGAATTGAATTGTTAATTCACGTTAGCTCAGTCTATTAAATAATGTTAACAGATACAATTTGTATAAATTGCTATTACTCTGTAATTCAACTATAGTATTTAGTATTATAGTAATAAAAAAACTTGCAACTGAAATTTAACAGTGTCGCCATCAACATTACATTCAGTAATCTGGTGGGTCTGGGTGCGCTGGGAATCACATTTTCTTAAATAAAGACTAGGTAATGCTAATTTTACATATCATGCCCAGTGAATATGGCATTACTATAACATGGTGAGTTGGATATAGCGCAACGATATTTGAAATCTAGGATTTAAAATTAAGATCTAGGAGATTCACTTTTACATTTACATTTAGTCATTTAGCATACGCTTTTATCCAAAGCAACTTACAAATGAGGACGATGGAAGCAATCAAAATCAACAAAAGAGCAATGATATACAAGTGCTATAACAAGTCTCAGTTAGCTTAACGCAGTACACGTAGCAAGTTTTTTTTTTACTTTTATGTGTCCAGTAACAGCAGACCATTACATGCATAAATCAGAGTACACTGGACTGCTAAGCCAGTGTTATAGGTTCAAACCCCAGAAGGGGCAGTTCATGGATTAAAACCATTATAATGAGGAAGACACTTAACTCAGTTATTGAACCTACAATCAAAGACAAAATGCCACTTTTGGTAAGAAAGTATTTGTGAAATGAAGATGAATGATGTAATTGCTGTGTGTGTGATTTCAGAGGCGTGTTTTGAGAGCGTGGCTACAGGCCCAGCAGCGCTGTGGTTCCTCACAGTGTGACGACACTGAAGCGCGGCTGATGGAACTGTGTGAGTGCGATGGACTGAGCCTGGAGGACAGTGAAGAGGAGGATGAGGATGAGGAAGAGGAGGTGGAGAACAGTGAACCACTGGAGGACAGTGACATCCAGTACTCTGACTCTGGTAATGCGCACACACACACACACACACACACACGACGTACAGAGTTTAGAATGCTTTTAATAAGGTCTACTGCATAAGATGCATAAAGTACTAGTGGTACCAGTGTTATTTTATGGCACTTTTCCACTGCGTGGTACGGCTCGGTTTGCATTTCCACTGCACTTTAGTACTGCTTTAGAGTGGGCGGGATTATTAACATTTCGTTATAGTTGCGCCGCCTCTACTGCTGCGACTCCTGAAAAACGTTTAAGTCTGTGTCGCCCCATCAAGCTCTCGCTGGATCTGTTCCTCTGCTATCAACGAGAGGAACGTCTGTACTTCCTCAACAGACAACGAAACAGACATTTTTTGTTGTTAAAAAAAGGTGCGCTTGTTCAAAACAGTTGCGTTCGATCTTTCGCTGGCTGTGCT